TACCAGATGGTTTTAAACTAGTGTGGAGGGAGACATTCATCAGTCTCACAATGGAAAAAACAGTGGAGGAGGCAGTGCTATCAAATTCAACTTGTGTTTTGAGCTGGATACTGAGGTCCAAATAATTTCTGGTGTTGATTTTTTTCATTTATTATCATTCTTGCATACCATACCACTCTTTCCAATTTTTATTTTTTCATTTGGAGCAATATTAAGACTTTTGAAAAAAGTGCAATAATTGTAATATTTTTTGCAAATTTTAAAAATCAGTTTTTCATATTTTGTTTTCAAAATCATTTTTTGAAACCTCTTTTATACCACTTGCTCAATTCTCATGATTGCAAGTTGGTGGGTTAGGGTTGTGTAATCCAAACAAATTGGCTATATACATCTGGGAGGGCACTGTACATAAGTACTTATCCATAATGTTGTTTACCTTTACCTCTTGTTATCTTATCATTAATTTATCTTATCTTATTTTATCTTATCTTTATTTAAATACATATAAGCTTAAATATTATCTTATCATTTAATTACTTATCTATCAAATATATATCTACTTCATACATAAGTAATTATCACTTACCTTTCACCTCTTTGTCCATGAAATACCTGTACCACAAGTTATCCCTGGTCTACATTATTTTCTCGGTCAAATAAAATTACAAATAAACATGTACATGTATTGAAAATTAATTATTAAGTGTTAATAGAATTAATACATTCAATACATGCATGGATCACAATTATGACTGCATTATTAGAGGATCTGTTAAAATGCACGCAACAAGAGCAACTAGTACACAATTATGATGTCACTTACTGATCATGAAAAATAGTGATCAGTCAAATCAAATGATGTGCTCATTCTCCTGGCCAAAGCTCCACTGATTCTGAACGCTCATTCTTCCCCTTTTCAAATATTCTGGAACATATAATCCGTGCCAATTTCACTGATTAATCCCCAGAATATTCAGACACCAGTTAAACAAGTTAACATTTATATTGATACCTTTACACGTAACCAACATAAATCTAGTCTATATTTATTGTTCTTAAGCTTAAGTCAACAACTCAACTTATCTGCAGTATTCATAGCCTTGCTGAATATTCCCATCAACAATACCTATTAATCTTCAACTAATTTTGTTAAAGCTTAATAAGTATTGTCAGCCCATTCCCTTTTGGGAATAACCAAATCAATCCCAGGTGAGTCCTAGTTCCCTGGATGCCTATTAATACCAAGTATTGATCCGCATGCGCTGTTGATAGCAAGCCTCTCAGTAAAGACCATACTAATAGAGTGAAACCTCCTCATTACAGGACTGGTATTAACAACCACTACCTACCACTCACCACACTCAAAACACTCAGTCAACTCATAGTAACAATCTTTTTACCAATAAACACTCAGGTTAGTTACCCAGAGGCTGACAATGGTAGTGCACTCCAATAATCCTTGGAGTGCACAAATTTTTGTGGTGTACATGGGGGAAATATCTGGTGTGCAAAAATGCAGACCCAAAAATAGTCTTCAAGCTCAAGCATGAACACCACTGATCATTAAAATGATATGTAAAACAGTGATTCAACTTTAATCACTTCCAAAAGAAAAACTGCTGGGTAAATGTTCTATACATCCTCCAATGGCTTGTCCTTAATTAAATGCGCATACTCACAGAACTTACCATCATCATTAAGTACTGAAAATCAAATTATTACAATCTAACAAGTTGTATCTATATATCATGAAATTCATAGTGTGCAATGCTAATGGCGAAATCACACTTTTTTTTGAAAAAATGGCTTGTCCAATCATTTTTCTTAGCCTGAAATGGTTTCTTTCAGAATCACTATCATCCTTCTTTCATGACTGCTCTCTCCTCTTGAACCTCTTGAATCAGACACACTGCTTTTGGTCTTGTACTTTGTTTTACCACTGGGTTTTTGTGCCTTTCCTGGTGAACGTTTTGGCCAATGTTCTATGATGAATTTCTTGCTCTTTTTGATCTTTGGTCTTGAATCTTAAATTGATTTTTTTGCTTGTTTTCTCTTTTTTTTTGAACCATTGAACTGATATTTTCTTCAGGTTTTTGAGTTCATTGTGGTAAGTTTTTAGCACTTGAGTTTGATGAGACAATGGCGTTTATCAAGTGTGATAACTTAATTCATGTGAAATCCTCCTGGTTGAATTATATATTTGAATTTAATTTCATTTCTCTTGGAGTCTGACAGAACTTGTGATATGTGGGCATCAACTGCTTTGTCCCTTAGATGTTGAGGAGTTGTAGTGGCTTTTGTTATGCAGGAAGAGGATTGAATATTTTTGCTCTCAAGAGCAGTGACTCTGCTGATGGGAGGTGGTGTACTTGGTCTTGCTTGACTTCCTGTGGATGATCCTGATCAAATTTCATGGGTTGCAGAGAAATGTAATGATCATAGCAACAGTGCCACCAATGCAATACAATACGATACAGGACCATTTTTAGAATAGTCGCATATGCTTACATACATATGCAATATGCTTCTACTATAGTTGTACTTACAGCGGTGTATTTAGTTCGACCCATGCTTAGTTCCCAGCCTGGTTCCTCACTGAATTCATACCACCATCTTCATTGTGTCACCAAACTGTCACAAGACTTTTGTCTGCAACTTCAGTCCTGCGACCCTGTTCCCCTCAACAGGTTATGATTCCTAGTCGCTTCAGCTCCCAACACCTCTCCAACCTACTCGATATCTCGTCAACCAAAAGCCTACACAATGCCATACAGGACAACTCAGAACCCCTCGCCACTCATACCGTTGGTCCCTCAATTGGATGGAAACTTGGTAACGTTTACATCTTGGAGGTCCCGCCTCAAAGACGTTCTTGTGATCCAGGGGGTGCTGGATATTGTCCAAGGGAAGATCCCTCGTCCGCCAGCAGAATCACCTGATTCTAAACCAATTGTTCACACCAAGCGCGGCTGGAATCCGGAGGACTTTTGCTTGGACTGGGACCACCTCTTGGATATGGCTCACTCGACTATAAAGCTTACCCTATTGGTTGGCCTATCTATCCGATATCGCGACTTGAAACCAGCAAGTAAATTATACAATGTGATTTGTGAAGCTTACGAAAAGAACACTTGGGCCCGTTGACTTGCCCTCGAGGATGCTTTTTGGACAGCGAAACACAATCCAAATATCCCTACACTGCAAATGTGATTATATCAGATTCCCACATCTGGCATTACATCAGATGAAAAAAATCTGATTTCAGATCAGGCAAAACTGGTATTATATCTATCAGGAGTGATATTATATCTACCTAGAATCATGTTATATCTATCATAACAGATGTTGCATCAGTTCAACCTATTTAATGTCAAAATAACTGATTTTATATCAGATTTTTTACATCTGATACAAATTTTTAGCCCATGGGCATTAAATCTGATAGAAAAATCCGATATGAATTTAGTTATGCTGACATTGAATAGGCTGGTCTGATGCAATATCTTTCATGATAGACACAACATCATTTTAGGTAGATATAATATCAATTCTGGTAGATACAATCCCAGTTTTTCCTGATCTAATATCAGGTATTTTCATCTGATGTAATGCCAGATGTAGCAATCTGATACAATCACTTTGGCAGTGCTATTGCCAAGTGGATAGCTCGTATCTGTAATGCTGCAACCAATCTGGCCATGGTTAAACTTAGGCCAAAAAATCAACAGATCTGTGATTGTCTTCTCCGAGGACTCAACAATTCCTGGAAACCAATCCGGGATCACTTAGTCTATTCGCTGAATGAAGTATCCCTAGACAACGCCATAGGAGCCCTCAAATCTCATGAATTATTGACTCAGGTCTCCTCTGAAGCGTTTGACACATTGGTCTTGGCAGCTAAAATAAAGCCTAAGCTAGGCCAGCGGTGGGCCGCTATGCTTTTGGCCCAAAAAGCGTAGCGTAGCGGCGCTTTTTTTTCATCCAAAAACCGTAGTGTTAGCGGTTTTTCGCTACGCTACACTACAGCGCTTTTAGTGGAAAAAGCGGCCAAAAACTGCTAAAAACCGCTGTAGCGCAGTGTATGTAGTGGGCCCTTTTTTGCGGCCCACACGCGTAGCGTTAGTGGTGTCGTGGCGGAATTCCGCTACGCTACGCTAATTGCTAACAGTAATTCCGCTGTGTTACGCTACACTAACCGCTACGGTTAGTGTAGCGGCCCACCGTTGGCTAGGCTGTTGGAATTGCCGCCAGAAGGGACACCATTCCTCAAACTGTCCCAACCCCTCCATCAAGAGCAAACAGGCGCCACAGACTGCCAAGATGGCCTGTGCTGGATCAGTATCCTTCGCAACTCTTGGAAATGACTCTGAAGTAGACGACGAGAATGAAAGTTTTGACGATGACTGCGACATCAAGTGGGGCTAAGTCCAGGAGTAAATCACAATATTATCTTTCTTGACAAACACAACTCCGGTGCTAGTCGATAGTCAATTCTCTGAGCGCGTTTGATTTTTGAATATATTCTCTGTCGTGGAGTTTCTCCGTTCCTTACTACCTCAAGATCTCTGACTTGATTTCCCTTCAACTTTCTGTTCCCCTGAGATTTTTTTATGCCACTATCGATTACTCCTAGTGATTTTCTTTATCTCTATTTTTTAACTTCAACTATAGTCTTCAGAAAGGGGGTGTGTTAGAATAGTCGCATATGCTTACATACATATGCAATATGCTTGTACTATAGTTGTACTTACGGCGGTGTATTTAGTTCTACCCATGCTTAGTTCCCAGCCTGGTTCCTCACTGAATTCATACCACCATCTTCATTGTGTCACCAAACTGTCACAAGACTTTTGTCTGTGACTTCAGTCCTGCGACCCTGTTCCCCTCAACAACCATTTATATGTATTGCATCAGATGGCTGATACATAAAGATACAAAAACATGTATTTCATTGGGTCAAGTGATGCAACACTTATGTATTGTATCAGTTGACCCGATACACAGATTTTGAAAAGTGTGGATCACATCAAAAATGTGATACAATCCCAATACATCATTCACTACAAACAATACTGATTTTGCCCCAAGGAAAAATGGCAATTTGGATGGTGGAAAATAGATCAATTTTCTGGCACTTTTTTTACAAGATGCCTCAGGAGTAAAAAACAGGCTAAAATGAGCTATTTTAGCCAAAAAAAATAAAGATGTCTGAAATGAGCTAAAAATTCATTTTGGAATGTTTGAGGAATTTCTATCTCTGGGCTAAAATAGCTTGGTTTAGCCTAATTTCTACTCCAGAGGCATTTTGGAAAAAAGTGCCAGAAAATTGATCCATTTTCCCCCACCCAAATTGCCATTTATTGTTGGGGCAAAATGGGTATTGCTTGTAGTGATTGCAGGGGGGTTGATAAGTGCAAGCCAACCCCCCACGCGCACGCCATTGCAGAATGGCGTGCACGGCAGGCAAGCCATTTGCCTGCAGGGGTATACCCTG